TCCAAATTGGGCGTCTGTTATCCAATCCTTTAGAAACTATATGAGAGTAATTGTGGAGCGATCCTGAGCAATATTCCGAAAACTATTCTCAAACAGTTCCAGCCAAATTTGAAATATTTCAAAAACCCTACGCGTCTATAGTTTTGAAATGCACTGTAGAATCTTTCGCTGTAGAAGAAATCTATTCGTATGTCTATTGGAGATATAATAATTGTATTCTCTGGTTATAAAATAGGTTAAGCTCACAGAAAAAATACCATCGGTCCCTTGGTGTTCGTCCTAAAGAGGTTCGACTGGATATCATTCATACTCACCAAAAGATGTTTAAGATTTTATTATTGTGGAGTGCCTTGTTTATCTCTCAGTACCTCCAACCATAGCCTTGCCCCTTTTCTCCTCAGGATCAGTGTAGTTGTTGGAACGAGGTTTTGGACTCAGCAATGTATTCGTTTACATTTTAATACAATGTCATGTTTATTGTTCCTCCTTTGCTGTGTTGTTTTAGACAATCGTGGACTAACAGTTTGAAGTCATTGAACTACTTCCAAAAGTTGTATCGACATCAACAGGATTACGATTTCAGTTTCAATATGATGCTGGATGACCTTATCACGATAACCCATGACTATAAACCATTATAAACACAGAATCAACAAAAACATCTGTGACACGCACCTGGCGCATGGCTACATTTCTCAAATAAATCTGATTGAGGGTGGAGTAATCTGAAAGGCAAGACAATTTTATGACAGAGTCATGAAATTCTGCAACATGCACAGAATGACCTCCGTATAAAAAAGTATCACCACCACTGCTCACATGTTTCCCCGCAGAAGAACATGCATTATGCTAGTGCCATTTTCTGCAAGAAAAGGCTTGCACATCAATGCGTATAATATGGTATCAAGAGTGCATTATGGACTCTTGATGGTATTGATATGATGTGAAGGCCATCATTTACATATTGATATAGGGCATTCCATTGATTGGTGACAGAAAAAAAACAAAAGAAATTATAGCAATAAAAACTGCTTTATGGCAGTTTTCTAAAAAAAGTTATTGTGTTCTAGTCCATGGACCCCGTCTAAAAAGTAAGAAATTAACGAAATGTGATAGCTGAAAATTAAAATTTCACACAAAACCTCACAATAATCACACACAGAATGAAAAGCTGCATGCAGAAGACCTTTTCCCCTAGTGATTCTCTTTCCTATGCATGCATGTTGCCAATTGTTGGTGCAGTACAAGTTTAGTGTTGAAAGCAGCATTTCAAGTGTTGTGATTATTGTGAGGTTTTGTGTGAAATTTTAATTTTCAGCTATCACATTTCGTTAATTTCTTACTTTTTAGACGGGGTCCATGGACTAGAACACAATAACTTTTTTTAGAAAACTGCCATAAAGCAGTTTTTATTGCTATAATACTAGTAGGTCCCTCCTGCGTCGGTGTCGGTTTTCTCGCAGACTGCATGTATACAGTACCAAACAGTCACGGGTTTTTATTTATTTTTATTTATTTATTTGGATGGAGAGCCAAGGATTATTTATAAAAAGTGAAAACTTGATTGTTTAGTAACTGGTGGTGTTAGTGGACATTATAGTGTAACTTGTAGTTCCTTGGTCCTTTTTACTTTTTATATTTTTTTCACCTTCCCGTGGCCAGGGAATATAGGTTCGCGTGAGTCTCGGCTAGAGACCAGCTTTCTGCATCCTTGGGGGCGCACCCACTCTCAATGATGAAGGCGCTGATGCAGCACCAGATGTTGCCATTACGATGGCCTTTGTCGTTACAAGTGAACGACGTCTGGCTTCCACTCGGAACTCGCGCACACGGGGCAATATCAGAATCATGAATGTCATTCAATAAGGCAATGCAACTCAAACTTCAAATTAGTAGATTGGTCTGGCCCAGTTTGGAACTGATAACTACATGTACATGTTCTCGGCCAATTATTATGTCAATGCAAGAGGATTAATAACCTCACTTTACTATAGTCAGTGCATTGCCGCTGAGGTCGGGCCTACATGTAATGGCTTGTTAAAGCCCTTCATTCCAGTTAGCGCTCGGACTCACTTATCGGTCACACGCTATGAGAGGCCGACCCTGTCAAATGAAGGACTGTAACCTGGATCTCACAAGTCAACGAAGAGGCATGTGTTTTCTTTAAAAAAAAAAAAAACTAGATCTCAGTGGCACCAGCCCTGGCTATCAATAAGAATAATAAAGTTAAATAAATGGTTCACCACAAGAGCACAGAAATAATCTTCTCTACTATGAAGGAGAAGAGAACGGAAACGTTCGGCAGTTTGAAACTGTTCAGATTGTCCTGTGGCGTGTGCGTCGGTGCATCATGCGTGTGAATTGACATTGGTAAATTAACCCATTCAGCGCTGAAGACGTATATATACGTCATTGAAAATGACGCCCAGGCGCGGAGGACGTATATATACGTCTTTTTTCAGTGCGGACGTGTTGACTCGTAGATCGCTCCGCGATCGGTTCCCATGTCCCTCAGCGCCTGGGGAGTCCCCAGAGAGAGTCGCGTTAGTCACCAGCTAAAAAAAACCCGGCTACAAAGTGTTTACTTCGCGCTCCGGGGTACAAACATTTGTACGGTGAATTTTTGAATTTGGAGGTAATGTCATCCCGGAGAGGCGAGCTGCTGAGCGTGAACGAAGTGCTAGACGCTGTTTTCCTGGACGATAACAGCGATGTGGAGCCCAGCATCGATAGCGACGATGACGACTGGGATGCTGAGCCTGGCACTGCTGAGGAAGTGGTCGAAATTGCTGAACCCGATGACGGCGACGATGTCAATATGCCCACCCCTGAGAATCCAGCTGAGAACGTAGCTGAAGTCCCAGGTGAGGGCGTCTTAGTCAGCCAAGAGGATGAGAATGAGCCGGTCGTTGTTGCAGAAGTGTCTGCCAGGTCACACAAACCAGCAGTGGAGCAGCTTGCTCCAGGAGATACTGGCCAAGAAGGTAATAATTACTAATTACGTCTGGTGAATATTTTGAATTTTTTGAATTTTGAATTTGTAAAAACAACAAGTGTGGGTGCTTGCAGCGATCATACCAACCTGTAGATAACAAACTGGCAGCCCAACGTGAATTACATGTCACATGCTTCTTTGACTGAACATTTAGTTGTCATAATGATCATATGTTGCACTGTAATTGCACATTCTGATTGTTGAGATTTTCAATTTGTTTTCAAAATAATTTCGACCATGTGAAAACCAACACATTTATGATTATATGTACATAGGAAGCAATGATACACTACACAATACCATGCAGTACAGAATATCAAGCGTAAATGGGATTCTCTACTCTGTTTACTCCACGTGCTTGTGTAGGGTTGTGGCGTATGGATGAAAACATTCCCGTCATCCCAGAATTTACTGCCGACGCCGGCATGAACGTCAACGTGCCGCCAGAGCCAACGCCGTATGATTTTGTGAAGCTGTTCTTCACTCCGGAACTATGGCAGCTGCTGGTGACTGAGACAAACAGATATGCAGAGCAGTACCTGGCACAATTTGGTGCAGATCTAACGCGACACAGTCGACTGAAGAAGTGGGTGCCCGTCACTGTGCCAGAGATGAAAGTCTTTCTCAGCCTCTATCTGCTGATGGGCATAGTGGTCAAGCCAGAGCTAGATATGTATTGGAGCACCGCTGCACTGCTGAGTACGCCTATCTTTGGCTCATCTATGCCACGAGACCGTTGGTGTGCAATACTATCTTTTCTGCATTTCGCTGACAATGCGACAGCTGATCCACAGGACAAGCTTGCAAAGCTACGCCCGCTGATCGACATGACGTGTGGTCTGTTCCGAACAGTCTATACACCAGCGCGCCATGTGTCTATCGACGAGGAGCTAGTCGCTTGGCGTGGCCGTTTGCAATTTCGCCAGTACATTCCATCCAAGCGGGCCAGGTTTGGTGTGAAGGTATTCGCGCTCTGCGAGTCAAGCGGATATATGTGCGACTACATTATCTACGTCGGCAAGGACACAACATTTGATGACGACATGGTGCGTACCCTGGGAAAGTCCGGTGCCGTCGTAGGCAAGCTGATGGAGCCTCTGCAAAACAAGGGTTATCAGTTGTACATTGACAACTGGTATACCAGCATTGAATTGGCTACTTACCTTGCGCAGCATGGCACCACGATGTGCGGCACAATCCGCAAAAACCGACGCGGGCTGCCAAAGCGCATCACAAACTACCGTGGTCTGTCGCGAGGAGAGTTTGTGTTTCGCTCGTGGAATGGGATCCTATTCCTGCGACTGTCCGACACCAAGGAAGTGCATTTCCTGTCTACCATCCATACGACTAGTATCGTGGACACCGGAAAGCGTGACGTCCATCGCCTCCCGGTACAGAAGCTGGCGCTGGTTCACGACTATAACCAGTATATGGGAGGCGTCGACAGAAACGACGAGATGATGAGTTTTTATACAGCTGCGCGAAAGACCCAGAAATGGTATAAAAAGCTTGCCATCCATCTGCTAGAAGAGTGTCTTCTGAATGCTTTCGTGTTGTTCCGGAAATTCAGCGGTAAATCGAAGAAGCACTCCGACTTCATCACGATCGCATTGAACGCCATGCTGCAGGATGGAAGGAGATCTGGTGCTGCTGCTGCCTCAGCTGCTCCGGCCACACCTGTAGCACGCTCTGTTGCAGCGAGTGGTCATGTGCCCTGCAGTATACCGAGCACTCCAAAGAAGACGAAGCCACAGAAGAAGTGTCGCTACTGTTCGCGGAACAACATCAGGAAGGAGTCTCGGTATTGCTGCATGAAATGTCCTGGCCAGCCTGGACTCTGTGCTGCTCCTTGCTTTGCCCTGTGGCATGAGTAACTGTACATATGTTATATAATTCACCTGTATATAGCCACTTTTCATGATATATATATCCATTGAGTGTATATAAGCCGAAAACCTGTACATGAAGGGAAAAGTGACATCTGAACGCAAAAATTCAATTTTTCTTTATGCTAACTAGAAGCTCCTAGAGTGTTTTAGACTGCTAAAATTGTTGTATTCTGCCTGTGTATGAGTGGTACAACGGTGCACAACATTGATTTTAATCATATGTGGAGTTTGAAATTTCTCGAAAAATGTATGCAGAGCCTGGGTGGCATGGCCTGTAGCGCTAAATGGGTTAAATCAATTTATACCCGCCTCAAAATTCTTCCAGCCATCTACACTACAGGCTATTATCACAACTCTCCCATGTACTTGTTGAAGTAATCCACTGCCAAACGGAACGCAGCACTGACGTCACGCTTCACCTTCTCATCACCGACGTCCAACGCCGCCTTCAGCATGAAGCCGTGCATCATGTCGGGAAAGGCGTGTATGCGGCTGCCGTCGCGCACACGCTCAATGTCCGACGCTTTCAGCTTTGTGATCACCTGACCGCCGGCCTGAACCATATTTAGATCATTACCGGCCGGCATCAGCAGCTGCGGACACTTCACCGCGCCAATCATCTCGTCGATGCTGCCGCCGAACAGGGTCTCCTCGATCTGCAGGCTCGGGTGGAAGGACACGCCGCAGGACAGCACCTCGGGCACGGACGACACCTTCTGGATCAGCCACGCACCCCAGCAGAAACCAGCCATGCCGATGCACTTGGCACCGTGCTGCTCGCGAAGATACGGCACGACATTGGCGTGCACGTCGCTGCAGACTTGCGGTTCGTACGGCATCGTCTTCAGCCACGTTCCCATGGTGTCGTCGAACGTCTTGCCCACAGGCCACGCTGTGCCGCGGAAGAAGTCCGGCATGATCACCAGGAACCCTTCATTGGCCAGTTGGTCGCACACGGCTCTGGCCCTGCCGGAGGTGCGGCCAAAGCCATATATGTCATAGGCCACGATCAGCGCTCTGCTACCCTGGCCGACCAAGTACGCGTCCAAGTCCTTGACTTTGATCTCTTTGCCACGCGGCTCGTAGCTAGTCTGCAGTGATGGCAGGCTGCCTTCTGGACAGCACGCCATTATGCTGGTGTTATTGCTAATGCCGCTGTTGGTCACGTGCTGCTGTTGGTGCTGCTGCTGATCCTCGTGCTGCTGGTGCTGCTCGCGGCTGCGGTCTCTGCCGATGCTGCTGCTGGTCCTTTGCCTACGTGGACTTGATGAGTGGAAGATACACCTTCCAGGATCTCAAGTTCTCCAAACTAGTGACTATGTATCAAAGTCTGTGTGTGCGTGCGAGCCTTGAAATACTAGTAAGTACTTCTTTTCAAGACAAGTGGAAAGGAATCTCTCTGCCTTCGCCTCGCGTTCTAACTAACAAAGTAAGTTCTGCTGCTCTCTGAGTTTCTCGCCATCTCGCCAAGAAAAGTCTTCGTCGATATGCAGATGCATCATGAATCACCCTCCTGCATGCCTTGCATTCGTGCCAGTTACCACGTGGAAGAATTCAAAGCTATGGCTCGATAGTCACTTGGGTCGCGGCCGGGGCCGCACACATCACAAGCTTTGGTACAGGTCAAAATGTAGCGCCAGAGCTCTCTAGTCTAGAGGCGCTGTCACCGAGGTGCAATCAAGGCACCAAACTTTTACAGATCGAATGGGAGCAGAAGTGCTGAACCGTTGGAAAAGCAAACGTTGTAGTTGATGCAGTAGCCTGTTCTTGAAGCCGTGTAATCTTGGACGGCTGATGATGTCCTAGCCTCGCGGGCTATGCTAGCTTCTCAATGATGCCTGCATGCCCTCTAGCCGGAGTGAGACTCGGTTCTTGCAAACGTCTTCAACCTTTCGCTCGTAATTTTTTCGGTGAGTCCACTGTAAAAGCACAATCACGTTGCCCCTGACATGCTTGTTCATTAAAATCATTATCTTTAGGAGGTCTACTAGTTGTAGCAAAAAAACAACATATTACTGGTGGATCTACTGTTAGTCGTACAGTGGCATTACGTTTGAAGGGCGCACTACGCCAGCAATCGGTTTTTCACATGAACATGACTACCAGTATCATATCTCAATTTACGTGTAAGGGTTGGTGGTTCACATATCGCCGGTACGCGCCGGGAGTCACCGGGAGTGGGCCTTTTGCAACCTCTCCCGGCGCATTGCGATTTTGTGAACCAGTGCGGTCGTAACAAAATCATACGGTAAATAATTGCAAGGGACCGCCGGCAAAGTTGGGCAGTGCCCAACTCTTGCGATCTGCCCCGGCACCGATCCCGTACAAATTTGACCAAAAGTGGTTTGTGAACCGTTCGCGCCGGTGATTGCCTGTGCCGGGAGCCAGGCTTTGTCAAAAATTCAAACCAATTCATACTGCGGGGTTCTACACACCTCACTGGAGGTGTGAGACTGGAACTGTGCTTGTATCACTGCTGTAGCGCAATATCTACTTTCCTCGCCGTTTGTGCTTGTGTTGTCATGTACATGTAGCAATGCACCCGCAACGACGTGCTTTGCACTTCTTTACACGCACTGTCACTAGGTTCCGCATTTTGCTTCCTTCTTTTATACTGCTGTTTTTTCCATGTCCACTTCATTCCTGATTAATACTTGTCCTAAAATTTCCTAAATTGAAGCTAGAGATTAGGTCCGTTCGCCATTCTTGTAGTCGCTTCAAGGTGGCAGATAAGTCAGCATACCAACCCGTCCTTCTCGGATGATCTGCTTGACTGTTTTGCAACTTATGAGACAAATACAATTGAAACAACAACAAAAAACACGATGGATACATTGGCAAGTTCTTGTGACTTCATCAACGTTTGCATGCATAATTTCGGCACCATCGCTTACTAGACTGCAATAAGAAATGTAGAAGTAGTTTCATGATCTCCAGTAAAAGGTAGCACTGAGTGTCCATCACCGAAAGACCTTGAACTACTGAAGAAACAAAGAATTGAAGCTTCAATTGGCAAACCTGTCGTAGCATTTGGGCACATTCTGTACTACTTTGTAGTAGATCTGGTACTTGAACCGTATGCGCAACAGATTAGGAGCTGGCTCACCGCCGATGTCTTACGGCGCCGATTTTGCTTACCGTATATCAGCGCCTTTAAAGCCATGGCCTTATATTCGAAATATCGCTGCTTTCCGAGATATTTTCGATGCAAAATGACTCACCCACTACGCCATGCCATAAAAGTCAAAGTCCACAAAGAAATTTCAATCTGAATTCACTTGTTCACCCTTACTGCTGGGCTGTAAGTTTGTTAGCATAGTACTTATTCCTTCATTTTTGCAAAACACACCTCAAATGTCATTTTATTTATGAAGCCCATGGCTTTATAACTGAGGCTGGTGTCATAATCGAACATACCGCCATGGCTGTAAAGGTGCGGACATACGGTATGTGAACCAACCCTAAGCAGTGATTTGTTTGGACTGTCTGAACTAGTGGCCGTATATTTATTTGCTAATTTGCGTGAGGGCATACCCTGGACAAAGAGGATTGCTCCCATGATGTCACACAGTGATGAGGTTTTAAACGGTTTATCATGACAGTAAAATGGATAACGCCATGGCATGTCCCTCGAGATTGCCATACTCTACATCTACAGATTTTCGGCCGATTCAAATTTCGGCCTCCCAGGGCTAAAAGTAAAACATTTTTTTACTTTAAATTTTCGGCCTGTACTGCTGCTGCCTGTATACACTGTCACACTGAAACTTGCAAATCAAAATTTCGGCCGCAACAAATTTTCGGCCCAATATGACCAGGCCGAAAATAGCCGACAATAAATACACGCCGAGTATTTGTCGACTGACAGTATTCGAATTGAAAATCTGTAGGCCACTTTGTCACAGAGACATAGGACAAACACCATAGGGCTCAGCGACCTGAACTCTACGAACCCTGAGCTTTTGGTCTTTCACCGGACCTCCCCTTTAGTCAGGTATACCTTTGAACAATTTCCCATGCCGCAACATCAAGGCCGTTTATCTGTTACCTCTTCTCTTGTCAGTGTGGGTGGCTTCATGTGGCATTCTGTTGTAGGAGCTGTCCAAGAAGATAAATTCCTTACCTGTCCTCATCACCGCTACTGCCGTCCCTCTAAAGAGCGAACATATGCACTGACGAAGGTTGCGTTTGTTCGGTGTTATTCCGACCCCATTCCGAAGTCATTCCGCCGTGTTTTGGCTCCGGTGCGTTTGTTTGATACACGCGACAGTGTTCGTTCGGTGAAATTCCGATTCGCGAATTGAACGGGGCAGAATCGATTCTGGCAATTCCAAAGAAAAAGTAGAAGGAGTTCTCATTCCGAGCGGAATGAAAATGCGCGGAGGCCACTAGGAGCTTCGTCGCTGCATACCTCCGCCAACGAAACTTTCAAAACGCGAGTATCGACATACGGTACTAGTAGTAATACGGAAATTTTGAGGAGAACGTCTTGGGTCTAGGCTGGTACTATAACCTTGGCATAGTTCTTGTTCGTGATATTTCGACCTGGTCGCAGCCTCAGAAAGCGTTCGACCAGGACAAGAACTGGAAATATGCCCTCGCACCTCTCCTCCTCATCTTCGAGCACGACCTCTAGAATCGCAGGGAGGCAAGCCAGAACTGTTTTTCGAGCCCGGCTATCCATAGCACATAGTGACCCAGACAGGCACTGAGCCTGCCACTTGACTTCTTACAACAGTACCTCGTCTCTGTCAAATAAGCGCTTCAAATCCGTGTAGAGCTAGAGACGTTTCTGTGACTGATATGAGGTCGAATAGTCATGATGAAGTAGCTATGCTGCCAAACGCCGAGTACAGGCACCCTGCGTCCCCAGTTACGGGCGCTCGTAGATCTACGCCGTGTTTGGCCGCTCCTTCGTCGTGACTGTCGTAGGCGAATGCAGAAACGTACGGAATCAAATACCAAGACAGCCGGCAGTACTCGTAGTCTTTGCAAGGCCACAAACAGCAGGAATACTCGTACTCAATACAGTCGTCCCTCTCTAATCCGGCACCTTTTGGAACGGCATTTTCTGCTGGATAAACAAAGGTGCTGGATTATCAAACCCTGCCCTCCAACCCGGCCCACTTGTTATCATACATGTTTGTGCGGTACGTCAAAACGTAGGGATTTTCTGTGTCAAAGCAAGTACTTTGTGGAATGCATGTCTATAACATACACTTGGGAATATCTTATGCACTAGCATAGGATATTCCCAAGTGTATGTTACATGTGTTGTGTATGTTACAATGGTCCCTGACAGTATGCGATGTACAACTGCTGGATTAGAAAATCGAATTATGTACAGTTTGAGTGATTTGTTGCAGAAAATCGCTGCTGGAGGCGGAATTCAAGTGCCGGATTAAAGCGTAGAAGATAAACTGAGAAAATCCCTTTTGCCAGAAAGCGTGCTGGATAAACAAGTGCCGGATTAGAGAGGGACGGCTGTACTAAACAAAACTTTCGACCGTCGTTTCTGGAGTTGCGCAAAACATTTGCCAGGTTCCCGAATGCATGCGGGCGCGTTTCTTTGCTACGCTAATTCCGATTCCGCGATGGGTACCGACTGCATGATTCCATACCCATTCTGGAATGACCTGAACAAATGCAACCAAAGTTATTGAGTTGGATATTGCTATTTTCAACTCATCAATGAAGCGAACAGCACATGCCAATCGAATGGCAGAAGTTGCTCGGGAGCATGCCATTATTTTATGGTTGGGCGCTTTGTCAAGCTGTTTATTTGTTGTGGTGACTGCCGTGTGTATACAGCAGCTCAAGTCGCTCGGCAGTCAAACACTCCACCTGCCTCTCTGTACATTATGGCGGAAGGTCCGCTCAAGGAGGTGAGCCGAGACGAGGCACTTGGCATGGGAGAGGGCTATCGTCACGCCTGCCACGCCATGTTCTACGCGCCACTGCAGACGAAGCTGTTCTCCCGCTACGACATGAATTATACTGTTATGGTGAGTGTTGTATTGTATTGTAGGGGATTTCCCCAGGCAGTCCCTGATCTGCTTGCAGGCTGATCTGTCTGGCTTTCTGGCATATTTCGAGCCAGCGAGGATCAGACCCAGATAAGGCAGGCATAGTTTAGTCTTGCACCTGTATGGTCAAAATGTACATCCAGGGACGCACAGAATGTATGGTTGGAAAAATAGAGTGTATTGCAGCTGAATCTTCCCACTTTTGGCCGCCGTTGGAATCATAGCATCTGGGGAGACAGCACAAGATTATATTATTACCCGTAATGTCGCATATTAAAGCCGGGCTTATTCCTGTAGAAGCCGATGTCAGGGCTAGGCTTCTATTCACATCAGGCTTCTATTCAAACCTGGTGTTTCTATGTATGTCAACACTAAAACCAGGCTTATGTGCCGACAGTGAATCTTGAAGATCAGGCTTGCATATTTCCGATATACCGTGCAACTTGAGAAATTTTAGCTCGGATTCTGAGCCAGTAATTAATGCAAAAAAGAGAAGAAAACACCTGAGTTTGTCTTGTCAGTTTTGTGCCCTATTATCGTACTTTCTGACTGTTTATCATCTTGTTATAGTCGTGGATAATTGCTGCATAACTCGTTCTCATGTGTTTTCTTAACTTGAGAAATACCACAGATTTGTGGAAAAATGTGAAGAAAAAAACAAATGTTGAATTTGGCAATCTCGGGTGGTTTATACCAAACGCACACATACAGGAGCTGTGATATTTTATTGAGTTGGAACAAGGTACTTTGTAACTATGATTCAAACATGCTAGATACATCCAACACAGTGGTGCGGTCCATTCGACCCCCAGCGACATTTTTTTGGATTTTACAAAACGTCGCAGCAAATGTTGGTTTGTAGTGTCCGCTACTGAGCTCTAGTACTGTAGTAGAAAAGTGCGCAGTAGAAAATGCCCGTACACACACACACACACATGCACGCACGCACACACACACACGCACGCACACGCACACACACACACACACACACACACGCACGCACTTGTACTTGTACTTGTACTTGCTCACTGCCAAAACTGGTCACGTGGGTCTCCCCGGGAGAGGGGAGAGAGACTCAAAAGGAATCTTGGAAAGATGACTCAATTGGCCATTGAACCACCCAACGGCCGACACCCCCTAAAATCCCCAAACTAGGGTGGACTTGAAATGATCCCACTTATGGGCTCACCACACCTCAGTAAGTGGGTGAGGACAAGGTGCAGAAAAAGGATTGACGGCATCAGGGTAGATGCCGTCACGCACGCACACACACACACACACACACACACACACTGATCTTTTTTGTTGTCCTTTCGTGCAGATGCAAATGCGCTTTGACGGCAAGTTGGGCTTCCCAGGCGGTATGGTGGACGCCGGCGAGAGCCTGGAGACGGCCTTGAACCGGGAACTTCAGGAGGAGATGGGGTTTGGTGATGAGGACGCACTGGGCATCGACGAGAGTGAGCACACATCCGTCCATCTACTGGAGAGCAAGAGACTTTTCCTGCACTTCTACATGCGGAGATTGTCGCTAGAGCACTATGAACGCCTTGAGCAGATGTCCATCAAGGCGAAAGATTACGGCTCAGAGGTAGGTATGGCATGGTATGCTGTTCTATATTATAATTAGGGGTGAAACGATTATACCCAATACTCGAAATACAAATTGTTACAAGCTAACAAATCGATTATTCAAAAGGTTTCGATTACTCGATTATGCATGCAGTTTACACGTATGATTGTTGATCCAATGTGCGAGGAAAAATCTCTTCTCCACAGGATCAACTTTTTATTCTAAATCTTCGCATTTTTCAACTTCTAATACTGCTTTTATCTATGGAAGAAATGATCGAAAAATAACCAATACCCGATCGATAAAGGTTTAGGTTATTCGGTAGTCAAAAAGTGTAATAGTTTCACCCCTAAAATTGTAATCCTTGGCTCTTCATCTGAGATTTTTAACAATGTAAATTTTATCAGTCGGTAGAGCATGAGACTCTTAATCTCAGGGTCGTGGGTTCGAGCCCCACGATGGGCGCCAATGTTGAGTATGAATTAGACCCAATATTCTCCAGACACAATTCACAACGGGACAGGTAGGTGGAACGACATTTATTAGGGTAGACGAAGAGACGGAGACAAAGACGAACTACTACGACCACATTATGATTATTGACGAGAGCGAGATTATTGAAGAGAGCGAGATTGTTGAAGAGAGAGAGAGCTCGACTGAGAAACAACGCAATATATAGGGCCTGGGTAGCTATGGCAAACATGGGCGCGCAAGTAGCTACCCAGGCCAACGGAACGAAAGGTGAGAATGACGTAGCACGGGTGCATGCAGGCCGGCCAGCTTATGAAAGGTTGTACGTAAGATTGTACGGAGGAGGTACCTAACACTTGGTCCCAACCTTAGCAGTGGCAGTCAGAGTCCACCCACTCACATGACTTCTAATAATGTCCATTTGTGGACCGTTGTGCTTTGGGAATCCTTGTTCAAACTCTGCAACATTATTTATTAAACCTTTGTGTGTGTGTGTGTGTGTTACTCTTTTGCTTTCTCTCGTGCGCTCTCTTTCTCCCTCTCTCTCTCTCTCTCTCTCTCTCTCTCTCTATCTCTCTCTCTCTCTCTCTCTCTCTCTCTCTCTCTCTCTCTCTCTCTCTCTCTCTCTCTCTCTCACTCACTCACGCACTCTCTCTCTCTCTCTCACTCTCGATCACACTCTCGATCACACACTCTCTCTCTCTCTCTCTCTCTCAGGTCCTGGGCGTAATTCGTTCCCCGACGTATCGCATGGGCGCCACTGACGGTGGCCTGCCGTCGTTCTTGCGCAACAGCTTTGTGGGCAACGCTCGCCAGCAGCTGCTGAATGGACTTCGCTCCGCCGAAATCCTGAGTGCAGAGGAGATACGCACTGCGGAGACGATAGCCTCCATGACGCCCACACCGTCCATACAGACGGTTAACACGTAGCAGGTGTCTACCTTGGCCCCTATAGATGCAAGGCCGGATGCAAACGTTTCTAACTTTCTACTCCATGCGCCCCGTTCGTTTTCCCCGCTCTATCCCATGTGCCAGGCTGCTGATTGGTGGATCTGACCTCTCTCCCATTGTTCAGCACCTGTATCTGACCCCTGAACAAGTCAACAGCAGCCTTTCCGTCCTATAATTCAAGACCGGCAGATGCTAGCCATCTGTCTCGGAACAGCTAAGGCAACCATTGAGTTCTCCAACAAACTAGTGCCAATACCTGACCGATGTGTCGCTTGCTGGTTGGTGGATGTGATCTTCCGTCCCCGCCGTTCATTTGCTGCAACTGACACCTGATCTCGGAGCAGTGGCGTCCCACAGAAACGAACAAGTAGTTCTTGACCTTCTTTGCGCCTATTTATTTACGACTTTATCATTTGTCTTGAGGGTGTCATTTTCCCCGGTCATTCAGCAGTAGAGGTGAAAGCTTGAGGCAGAATCCAGAGCACTCAAGTATTTGACGGTTCTTAGAACTGTGGTCAAAACCGGTGTGACGTCGGGACATAGTGTTGACCTGGCACTATACTCGTCGTCATCTGCGGTTCCCATAATCACTAATGCCTTATTTGACAGGTGTCCACTAGCAAGTGCCAACCTGCACACTTGCTGTACTGACTTCTAAGAAGAAGAAGTAGACATTCTTAGGGCTTGTTTCTCTTAAAAAGCAATGCTGCTTATCTGCGCCATTATTGAACGCATTGTTTGGCATTGCTTGGCAGTATTTACCTGTAGGATGCAAGAATAATAGGCGCCACACATTGCAACCGGCGGCAAAGCTTAAATCGGCCCTATGTTCGAAGAGGTCCATCCACGCAGACATGTCTTGATGTCCTCCCCCATTATCTATGGCGTGCGCACCATAATGCTGCAATGACATGGCTAGCAGTGTGATGTTAGCGCAGAGCACAATGTATGTGGCTGCCAGATGTGGGCAGGAAGTTGTGAGCAAGGTACCAATATGTGGTTGGTGTAGGCAGGAGTCTGTAGTGTAGAGACATTTAGGTGACGTCGTGGTACTTGAGGAGATATGTGTTCTCGTGTCGACACTTGGACACCATTTCCGGCTGCTTGTTGAGGCTGGATGGTGATTTTAGCACGTTGAAGATGTGGTACTTTTCTCTGATACAGAGAACAGGCATTTCCTTGAATTCTCCTCTATTTCTTTTGCTCTACATGTATTTCTTTATCCACATACCGAACATACATGAAACATGGCAGAAAAAGTGCCAAAATTCGGCCAATTTTAGGCCGGCATTGTCTGCAAAGGGCTACCGGTACTTCATTTCCGGCTAGACGGTTTTTAAAATGATGGATTGATGATGTTCGATTTCCATGCTGGGGTTTTGTTTTGCCCGGGTGGAGGTGGGTTTCTAGCAACACTGTTTTGTTTGCCACCTCCTTTACCAGTGGCTTATTTGCGTATCATGTGCTTGGTCCATCGTTAAGGGGATATACTGTATGCCTCTCCCCCCCCCCCCCCCCCCCCCGGGCCCCCCAAGAGCATAATCAGTTCATCCAATAAAATTGCAAAACAAGCTGAAAATATGCCAGAGAATACGACCTGGGAGAGTTTGCCTACTGAGCAACACATGCCTACATGTATGAGCAAGGCTTCTCTTGCGATGAACAAGAGTGCGTGTATTCTTGCTATGAAGCACTGGATCATGGAGGCTATGAAAATGCAACTCGTACGAGGCTGCAATGCTCTTGCATGCAGCTTGGCGTTCTGCACCTACTAACTACCCTGTTCGTACCTGGGAGTTGTACTCAAGCAAGGCCTCAGTGGCCAGTGCGCTCGTGCAGCCTCAGGGTTGTAGGCCGGGATTACCTGATTACTAGGGTCCCCCCCCCCCCCCCCCGCCCCCTACTAGTACAAGCCTGCATGCTACAATGCTACATGACTACATTAGTACATAGTACCAAGAGTACATAACCCCCCGGGGGTTATGTACTCTTGATAGTACTACATGTGGTGTAGTTCGTAGACCTCTACCCACCAAAATGCACCCTGTCACCTGCAATACATGCCTAGCGCCTGTTCGTTCTTCGACGCATCGTTCTTCGACGCATCGTTCTTCGTCGCATCGGTCTTCGACGCATCGTTCTTCGGCTCCCGAGTCCAGACACTCGTACTCGACACACCGGTATGTTAGTGTCAGAGTAGTAAAGATACTACTCATCGTACTGCACTCATCTTTGAGTTGATCGTGCATGGTTGTTCATGGATTATTGGATATGGAGGGCTTGGAGGAAGAAAGGTGGCAAAAACGCACATGCAGCGGGGTACAGCTTCGCTTGAACTTTCCAGCAGCCGGAGCTGATGCACCAACTAATTATTTTACTTGACCTACACAAGCAAAACAGTAGTTGTGCGTTGCGCTGTGGATAAGGAGGAAGACGGCAGGGTGAAGCTTCCATGGCCGTTCAACGTCCTCTTCCGGTCTCAGAGTGAGGCCCTTCCCTAGATTGTTTTTTCCAGTTAGCCCGGAAAGCCGTCAGCTGGCAGAAATATATCTGCCGAAGGTCTTTGCTGGGGATAGTTGACACTTCTTCAACCTTCCGAAGAAAAGTCACTGCTAGCTTTGCCTGTGCTTGTGGAGAGCAGTGTCGCTGAAGTTCGGTTACCTACTGGCCGAAAAGTGGGAGAGAGTCTATTCTGTTCGGGCTTTCTTCTTGGCTTTGGAGGCATTGTGGCCAAATTTTAATTTTCTCAACGGTAGTTTATTGCGGTCTGAACGAAATTTATTTGGCAAGACTTGGCCGTCTCGACTGCACAGGGTATCCCTGCGACACTTACTCAGCCTTGCGCTTGACCTCACGTCCTCGTGTCCACAGCTAGATGGCGGACAGCGGGGATGAGCAAGTGGAGGCTCTCGCCTCGCCCAGCGCGGATGCCGAGGCTCCCGAGTCGCCGGCAGCGGACAGCGAGCCTGAGGCAGATGCCCGTGGCAGTGGCTCGGACACAGAAGACACTGCTGCAACCGAGGAAGAAGAGAAGCAAGATGTCGAGGAAACTGAAGAGACGATGGACGACGTTGTGGTGACGCAGATCAAAAGAGGCTGTGATGATGACGATGATGATGAAGATGAGGACGACATGGACGACCCCAAAGTTGTGCGAACAATGGAGCTGAGTAGGAGCTGGCATGGTTCTCTGGATAGACCAAGTACAGCGCCAGCCGGGTCAAGCAAATCCGTAGAGTCACTCGGCAGACTTATGGAAGAAGATGGCCTCCCTGAAAATCTGGTGAGAAACACACCCATACAATGAACGTGATTCTGTGGGTTATAATGCTTATTGCTAACTAATACTACTATTTCAATATTCAAAGCGTAGTCTGGGTGGCCTAACGTTACGTGGAAGATGAGCAACGGGCATTGGCCTTTTTTAGGGAGCTGGGAACTGGCACCCACACCACTCGCGTTTGCTTTGCTGTAGGTCTTAGATAGCGTTAGGTTGGTTGTACGCCACACAAACTTGGTAGATCCAGGCATAGCACCCTGGAGTGATACGCACACAGGACTGTTCGAAGACCACCATGAATCTCACCGACAAAGG